ATATCGATCGCGTGACTTTTAGTATTTATACAAATTTTTACTTGGGACTATATAATAAACAGAACATTACACGGTGGCTTGAAGATATGCCTTTTATCTTCTCGTGTTAAAAACATACCTTCGAAGATAAATGTCATAACTTCGCGCCGCCGTGTAATATCCTCTCTCTCTCGAGCTTTCGACTACCTAGCTGTAGTCTTCGATGGGTCTACAGTTAGGCAGTCGAAAGCTCGTTTTAAATAAAATTTTAGTCAGAGAACTTTATTTTTAATTATGTCTAAACCTGGCTACGCTATCTCCATATGTGATGACTGTTAGTATATCGACTGTAGCTGGTATTCAGTAGCCTGTGTACAGCCGTTACTCTCTGTAGTGATGTCATAAACTTGAGTGACAGATATAGTCATGTGACCTGAGAGCACATGGAATCATTAGGATTAGGATTTTGTAGCGTGCAGTTGGTATTAGAAATAAACTATGTAAAAGAGAGTACAAATATTATATTGGCGACGAGGATATAAAGTGAGCAATATGGCAGATGAAGAAACGCCACAGCCGGCACAACAAACTGTACAAGTTGTACAAATGGCACAATCGGTCACAATACAGCCTATGCCTGAATTTCGTCCCGATGCCAAAGTAGGAGCAAGCCTCGCTACTAGATGGAATAACTGGCAAGCAGATTTTGAAATGTTCATTATAGCCAGTGGGATCACTGACGCTAAACGTAAACGAGCGCTGTTATTATATCAAGCAGGACCTCGTGTGAGAGAAATATTTAAACAATTAACGGATAACGATGATAATTATGAAGTCGCCAAAGCTAAACTAAAGGAATACTTCGATCCACAAAAAAACAGAAGATATGAAGTGTATCGTTTTCGCCAAGCTATGCAAAAATATTCAATTTCTGGATAATGAATGCTAATGAATAGACAGAAATTAATATTTTGGCGGCACGTGAGCATCACGTGAGGCCCCGGTGTGACCTGGGACAGGAGTAGAGTATTTAAGGGTGGTATAACACGTGTGGAAGTTATCTAGCCAGTTTCCTTACCACTCACTGTTGGCTTCGTGTTTTTTGGTATTTGACGATGGCGGAACAGCTCAGAATCGAAGTGACAACATTGATTGAGAATGAAATACAGAGGAATAACCATACACTTTTAGAGTCAACGAAAAGCTTACTGGATAGCTCAGTTCAACAATTAAAAAGGTCTTCTACTGAAAATGCTGAGAATCAAATGAAATAAATCAAGAGGCTGAAGTATTCAGAGCCGCACAGTTTCAAGAAGAAAGCTAACGAAGACCAGCACAAATTCAACACTAAAGTCATCGATTCCTTGGCCGAAGTCTCTGATGTCTTGGCGAAGAGAGAAACTACAGAAGCACAAGATCATTTACAGAAAGGTGAGCACATGTTAAATGAGCGGCAGAAGCATATCCTTCTTGCCGATAAATCGGAATTTGGGTGGGCGACTGTTCATGAATACAAGAAGCATGAGTTAGGTGAAGATTCTGAAGACGAAAAACGAATTTTAAAATCCGAAATTCGTGCTAAAGCTCAAAGGAGGCAAACTCATTCCAAATCGACTGCTAGAAAATACGAAACGAAACCGCAACGCGAGGATTTAACGAATAGATCCTATACATCAAACGTTCAAAATAGTACTTCTCGTGCTCTTTAAATTCTTCACCAGCCACAAACGTAAGCAATTTTAAATCTGGTAGCTGTTATTCATGCGGCAAATTCGGATACTGGAGAAATGAATGCCCAGGAATTCCCAGAGGGTGACTAACAGAAGGATCAGTGCTTAATGTACATTCCATTTGTGTGAATCGTTCATTATTAAATATAGATAATGAATTGACTGCATGATGAGTGTTTAGAGACTAATTTTTGGCCGAACTCCCACTCGCAGGGTGAAATAAAACTCGAGCACAACAACAATAATTTGGCGTCTGTTAAAGGCAGATTAAAAAAAATGCGTTTCCGATTGGAAACAAATTGAGGCGTCCAAGTTTATTATAGATACTATAGAATCTTGTTATAAGATACATTTTTTGGGACACCTACACCTTATGCAGGTACTAATAATTCCTCCGCGCGAAAACACATATCATTTGTGAACGATGCCATAAATGAACTTCTGTTGCAAAGATGCATAGAAGAGATTGAAAAGCGTCCGCCTATAATTAATTAATCCTCTGTCAGTTTCTATTCAATCTTCAGGGAAGAAACGTTTAATTCTTGACCTTAGACATGTCAATCAATTTGTCTACAAACAGAAATTTAAATGCGAAGATATTAAGACTTTTATTCAGCTTATTGATAAAGAATACTATATGTTCAAATTTGACTTGAAGTCAGCATATCATCATGTTGAAATATATGAGGAACATCGACAATATCTATCGTTCGCATGGGATTTTGGCGACTCGGAGTTCAGATATTTTCAATTTTGTGTTTTACCATTTGGCCTCTCTTCAGCGCCATTTATATTTACCAAGCTTTTGAAACCTTTGACAAAATTTTGGAGAAATAAGGGCATCCCAATTGCGGTGTATCTTGATGACGGTTGGGGGCAGGAAGGAGTCCTTTAGTAGCCAAACGTCATAGTTTATTAGTGCATTCAGACTTATTGAAGGCATGATTCATAGCGAATGAAGAGAAGTCTGTTTGGGACCCTATTCAATTGGTGACCTGGTTAGTGTATTTAATTAATACAAAAGACAATATTTTACAGGCTACGGACAAGCGAGTTAAAAAAAAAACAAAGCCGCACTTGACGAAATACTTAAAACGAACCTATTCACGTTAAAGATTTGACTTCCGTAGTAGGACAGATAATTTCGCTAGTAATGGCAGCCGGGAATGTGTAATAATAACATTTAATATCCATCTTTGGTTAAAAAAGTACAATGGATTTACAAGAAGTGCTGAGGTTAAAATTGATAAGAAGAAATTTTACTATTATTTACATCAATGTTGCTAAAAATGTTTATACTAGTTACATATTCTATAAAATTAATTTAGGACTGCTTTAAAAGGGATATAGCTCTAGGTATAAAGGATTGCCGGTGTCTTTTAGTATACGATACAACATATGGTAGATTACTTGTTGTTCTTAGATCGTGTTCATGGGTAAAAGGTTGGGGGATAAGTTTATTACATGGGTTGGTCGGATCACTTAGAATTATTTGATATTCCTTAA